AGTTCGCTAATTACCCCCTCATAATATGATATCCATTTTTGTTTGCTGCTGAAAACATCAGATTCTTTCATAATTGTGAACAATTAAAAAATAATGATTAAAGTTAACTCTAAAATGTGATGTACGTCACACATATTCCAACTTTCTTTTTCCACAATAAGCCTATAGCTTCATATGAACAAAATGGAATTTAATTGTTTCATTTGAAGTTGAGCACTTTTTATATAGTTGCATCAAGTTCTAGTTTGAGGTAGTATTTGTTAACGTATAAAGCATTCAGTGATAATAAAATTTCATAAGAGATTACAAGATCCAATCTAACACATATGATTAACTCTCTTGGAATCAATGTAATTTTCCAAAGATCCAAGTCTACTTTGAATCGGCTTTTTATAAAAATGGTCCTTCTGAAATACCCTACATAGAGACATCTTCTCAAAGGAGAGCCCTTCCATGTCACAATTCTCAGCTATACTATCTCAAAATCATAAAATAAATATGGGATCCACCAAAGTATCCAAAATACTTTTATAAAAAATGATTGATTCACATTCCAATGCTTGGATACTTCTAGTTTTCTTAAAGTCACTCTAATTACTTCCAATGTCTCCTATATCAAAGACAACTCCGTACTCCTCTCTCTTTTCTTTTAAAGCTGTCATGACCTCTGCTTCTGGTCTCGCTAATACCATCCTCAAATACAACAGGTTCATAGCTCAATCTGTAATGTTTGCATCAAGATTCATAGCTCAAGCTGTTAATAGACCTTTGATAGCATTAATCAAATTGTGTAGATCGAAGTTCAGACATTGAAGAGATAAAAAGATTGTGCTCTGTTTTATATTCTTATCCCATACTTGAAAGCTTTTGTTTTTGTCCAGTTAGATTCTATCAAATGGCTAAGATCACAGTGACACCAACATATGCCCTTGCAGAGTTTGTTCTCTTAAAAAAAAACATTTATTCCACAAAGTTATGCTGGTTTTTTTGTGAAATTTCACCTGATTAATTAAGAACTCTCATTACATGTTTTTTGTTTGTTTTAACCTTGTTTTAGAGTTTGTTCTTTCACAAATTGTGGCATTAGCCGTTGTATCCCTAGGTGTGGCCATTGCGAGAGTAACCGATCTATAATTAAATTTGTTTTCTGTATTGGTTGCTCTTGCTTGGATTATACAAGTGCCATTAAAAAAATACTCTATTCTAATCTTCAGCAACAATAAAATTGTACTGTCCTAGCGTAGGAATTTCTCTCTCTCTTTACTTTAATTAAGGCTTAAGCAATATAGGTCTCTTATGATAATACACTTTTTACTGAATGAAGATTGATGTGGAAGACGATTTTTCTCGGTGCGATTTACTGTCTTCTTCTTATTGTCTCTCATGCCATGACTTAAACCACCTAGAGTTGTGCTCTTCAAATAAGACTTGGTTTATACCTCTGCAATCCTTAGCTCGACTTTGCTCGGCTTTCTTCTCCAGCCTGCTCGGGACATGGCTCTAGAACACAATATCGGGAGGTACCTCTCATATGGGGTTTCCATTTTTGGATTCTAGGATGCCAAACCCATTTGGATGGAAACTCGGTATAAAATAGCAATTGTGCCTCCTGAGACACTTGATTGCATTCCATCCAAGTCAAAAACTTGTTATGCTTTTCCTTTTTTTTTGAGTTACCATTGTCAGACCACATAATTTATGACGAAGGGAGATGGTAAGGTAAAACGTGATTCCCTACCAAAAAGATCAATATAATAAATTAGAGAGATCAAAATAATAAATTAGAGAATTTGCGAGTACGATAGTATAACAAGTTAACTATTTTTTGCACACTCTGAATTTATAAAAAAACTAATTAATAACAATTATTATTATTACCTGTTAGAACCATTGGAAGATATGATTCCAAAGTTCAAGCCAATCAGCTATAATTTGTGGGATGAACTCTAGGTTTAAGAAAATAAAAATAAAGAAGCTCAGGTCAATCTATATTTACGAAAAATAACTGATTACTCCTAAACGTAATTACATACAAGATATGATAGTACATTTCTTAAACATCTTTTTACGAACATGAATATATAAAAAGACGTTTACGAACAATAAAAAAACGAACACGACCTAAGAAGATGGTGATGGTTATTGTATGTTAAAAAAATATGTATACGATATGGGTATATATAGAGCAGGATAAATGCTTTAGGGTTTAGGGTTTCTATGTTGGTGGTCCATTTAATAGATTCAGTGGCTATGATGCTGGGCCATAAATAAACTTGATGGCCCATAATCGATAAAAAAAGCCATATCACATATATTGACACGTAGGATTAATGATCATCTTATCAGAACTAATTAAAATGCCACATAATTTTTTTAATAATGACACATAAACGAATCGCTGTGGAGATGACACATGGATTTCTGACTTCGTAAATAATAGTATAGATTGTTATTAAGATCATATCAAATTAATTTGTTTGGCAATAAGAATAATAGTTATCCAAAAACAGAATCATCTAAAATGAAAGAAATCATATTTGGACATAAAAAATGTTTCTGTTTTAATAGAATTGATATTATTCTTAGTTTAATCCATGGCCTATAGGTGAATTTAAATGATATAAGTTTGTTGTTTCTAGAAATCAGACTTTGACTTACTCCCTATATCTTTTACTCATGCACAACTCTTATAGACTGGACAAACCTCATCACTTATAGCCCAACTCGGGTCCTTAATTAGGAAGTTGGCTTCTCAATTAACAGTGTACCAACTAAGGAACAACAAGCTTCAAAATCACCAATACTCGCACCATTGATAACCTTCAAAAAAAAAATACGATCACCATTAATAGACATTGACAACACTTTTGTAACTTAATGGTTATGTGGCTTCAATGAAGGGCTCCTCCTACTCAACTTGTTTTGCTTCCTTGATTTTTATTTCCATTTTTTGGCAAGGTCTTAGGATATTAAGTTTAACTCTTTTGTAAAATCACAAGTATTATGATATTTGAAAAAAAAAATGAAAGAACTAGGACAAAGGTGAAGAGTTTTTTTTTAGATAAACAAGATGTTTAATCTGGGCCAAATAAGTCCAGAAGCCTTTAACATTTTTACTCATCTCAGTTGCCACTTGATCATGTGACCTCTTGGTTTACCGTAGTATATATTTACAATCATGCTGTGAACCTCTGGTTGATAGCTTAAACTATTTAGACTCCTTGTAATGGTGGTTTTTTCAACCGTTGATAATTTTTGTCAACAGTTGAAACCTTTACAATTGTGTGTTGAATTTTAGTTATAGATGATATGTCAAAATCAGTGTTGACACTTTAATTTAATTTTAATCGATAATTATTATTAATAATATGTAATCACAAAAATCAAAACATAAAAGAAAATAAAAATATGAAATAAAATTGGTGGGATAGGATGTTGTAATTTTATTAAACAAAACTATTGTAGAAAGTAAAAATTGAATGAGTATTGAATTATGATGTGGAAGAAAGATAAGAAAATGTGGAAGAAAGAAAAAATGATATGCAGAGTGTTGTAACTATCAACCAACATACATAGTCTTACAGTGGCATGTTGTAAACTTTAGTACAACAAATTGATATTTTTTTTGTATTGCAATGAATGCTGTAAGGAAAAGATAAGGTGATCTAGCAAAAATTATGTTAAAAATTTTCAACAGCGTGAATGTTGATATGTGGGCGATAATTGATGACATGTGAAGAGTATTAATTGGGTGTTCTGATTTCTGATTTTTTTTATCTCAATTATTATTTCATAAATATATACATATATATATATAATATATATCAAAATTCATCATTTTCATATTTTATAAACAGACACTCATTTTATATGATTTAAACACATAAAAAATTATAGTTTTAACTATAATTTCTATATTATGGAATCTCAAAAAAAGACTTCAAATTTGAAGTTGGCAAAATCTCAAATTTGAGGTTTGATGGTGTTTTTCTATAAAAGCAAAACCTCAATATATATATGTATGTATATATATATATATATCGAATAAATAATAAAAACACACCAACTAAATTATAAATTACAAATCACATACCGAATTACTCAATTAAACTACTACCATAATGTTCTTTATATGACCAATTAAAATTTTTAAATGATAAGCAAACTTTTTATTTTGGAGTGTTTATTTAATTTTATATGTACAAACAAAATTTGTAAGGATATATGTGAAATATTAATGAAACATAGAATAAAAAGAGTTAAAAATGATAAACACAAAATGTACTAATAAATATTAATTTTGAAATATATAATTGAAAAAACTAAAATGCAAATAAAAATCATGAACCCCAAATTTGAGGTATTGAACACTGAAACCTCAAATATAAGGTATCACTATTCAATACCGCAAAATTTGAGGTTTTCAAGTATATCTTAGAATGCATAAAACTTGATATTTGAAGTTATAAGGTGTCTCTTAGAGATGCTCTAAGTTGTTTTTGGAATGAACAATACCTCATATTTGAAGATTTGAGATTGCTTTTGGAGATGTCCTTAGATTATCTCCAATGGAGGTTTTTTAGAAAAAATTCTTAACATTGTATGTATATATAAAATAATAGTTAAATATTAGAGGAGTTCAAGTATCTAAAGTTTCTTATTTAAGAACCTTTCTCTCATCTTTTAAGAATCTCATTCTCTTTTTTTAATATGATTTTATTTTATATGATTTTTTAAGAATCCCTCCACTTATTTTAAAAATTTTACCATTTGAGATGTTCTTAGAGCAGTTCCCAGCAGGATCTTAAGGGTTTTTTTTAAGGTAATTAAGCTGCAAAAAAAAATTAAAAATATAATGTTAAGAAACGGTTTTGGTTTAAAAAATTTTAGATACTCTTAGAGACGCTGACATGTCAGCTTGTCATTGGTTGTAGCTTTTATTATTATTTTTTTTAATTTTTTTTCTTCTCAATTAAACTCTCTCTCTTCTCATCCTGAACACACGACCTCTCTCTCTCGTTTTTTTCCGGAGAAAACGATGTTCAGTCCCTTCAAATTGCAAAACACCAAATTTTTGATGCATGTCGAATCGAGTTGAGTCTTCGTTTGGAGGTGATGAAGGTGTGCAAAAATCTGGATTTAGAGAGCTCTGCATCGAAGGAAATCCGGGTAATTTGCTGGAATCTCTGCAAAATTGTTTTTGCTTTGAAAAAATTTCGTAGATGAATTAGTGGGTTGGGAATCATCTTAAATGATTGAAATCGGTTTTCTCTGATAATTATGGGTTTCTTGTCTAGGATTTAGTGATTAATTTCTTCTATGTGATTAGGGAATGAAATTGGTTTCCGATGTCTTGCTTCTGATGAAAAATTGACTCGTTTATTTGCAGGTTCGAGAAGGTGGACATCCGGGATAGCTCATCGGCTTTCACGGCGGAAAGAGGCGGCGGTTATGGTGGTTTTTGCTCCCCTGAATAGGTTATTATCTTCTTCTTTTAATCCATTTTGTTGTTGTTCAATTTAAGGTTTATTGTCTGCGAGTGATGGTTTGGTATGATTTCTGCAAATGATGGTTTGGATTAGATGGTGATTCTATGGTTAGAGTTATAGATAGAGTGAGATTTCTTTGAATAGGTAATTAGCTCCTTCTTTGAAACCATTGAATGCTTGAGTTAGAGTTAGGTTTGATGACGATTAGGATGTGATTGAATGCTTTGAGTCAGAGTTAGAGTTAGGTTTGAGTATGAAGTGAATCAATGCTTAATGTTAATGCTTCACTGTGATCAATGCGTGGTAGTTCTAGGTTAGGTGGAGACTTTAGTTTGACAATGACTAATAACAACACAAACACAAGCTTTCTCTTCTAACTTAAAGCTAACTTTATATATTAAACTTTGCATTGATTGCTTATGCTAACATCAGAAACAAAAGCCTTCATTAACACAACCCAAAACCCTTTATTCCTCTCTTTCCTTCTCCTTTATTCTTCTATTTCCTTCTCGTTTAAACACCCATCGTAGAATCATATAGATTCTACGAATCCATAAAGTGACTCTAGCTTCATGGATCTCTTAACTAGCCAACAAAACACACACAACTTTGAACCAACCCGGTATGATAGTGTTTCACCAAGTATTGAACTTGGTGAATCAGAAGCTGGTGTGCTTGGTTCCCAGTGGTGTGATGCTGTAAGTAAAGGTGAGTTCATAGCCAAAGGACCTCGGAAATCAAGGAGAAAATGGAATCACACAGAAGACGTGGTCCTCATCAGTGTGTGAGTTAATACAAGCAAAGACCCAATAGTGGGTAGTGAGCAGAAAGCGGATGCCTTTTGGAAGAGGATTGCTTTGTACTTTGCTTCAAGTCTCAAGGTTGCTGGCATGGAAAAGAGAGAGGCAGGGCATTGTAAACAAAGGTGGTCCAAGATCAATGATATAGTGTGCAAGTTTGTGGGTTGCTATGAGGCTGCTTCATCTCAGAAAGCTTCAGGACAAAACGAGAATGATGTTATGAAGCTTGCTCATGATATCTATTTCAATGATCATAAGTTTAAGTTCACTTTGGAGCATGCTTGGAGAGAGCTTAGACATGATCAGAAATGGTGTCCAAAAAGAGGATCTGGAGCGGCAAAAAGAAGAACAACTGAGGAGGGAGCTACTCTGTCTGCAAGCTCACACTTTGCAGAGGAAGAATCAATGCCTCGCCCTCCAGGTGTGAAGGCTTCAAAGGCGAAAGGAAAACAAAAAGAGTCCGAACAATGAAGCATCTGTGGAGGCTGATGGGTTATCGATGGAAGAATTTCAAACAATGTGGGAGATAAAGAAGAAATATTTTGCTTTGAAAGAGAAGCACAACAAGCAGAAGTGGTTGGAGAGTCTACTTGCAAAAACAGAGGCACTTAGTGATATAGAAATAACTTTAAAATACAAGCTAATCAGTGACATATTGTCAAATGCTTGAGATTTTGTTTTTCCTTTCTATGATGCACTTCATGTTTTAGTTGAATGTCTTTGTGTTTTAAGTTTCGGACCATATGTAATGTTTTTTTAGTTGTTTGTCTTTTTAGATGTTTGTTTTTCTGTTTTAAGTTTTGGACCATATGTATGAAACCATTTTCATGTCTTCTATGCCTTTGATTTTCATATCTATCAAAGTGTTTTCTTTGTAAACATTGTGGCTTAGACAAATATTGTATACAAGTTTTGGACTCATTGGTTTTGCTTTATGTCGTAGGAAACAGAGCATAATAGAGGAGAATGTGATTTGGAGAAGAAGCCAGAGGTGATACTAAAGAAGAGGAAGAAGAGGGTTTAGAACCAGAAGAAAGAAGAAGCTCCTACAGATGTGCATGATTTCAGGGCCAAGGTACGTCTTAGTCTACATTGTGTTCTTCAGATTGTTTTGGTTAATGTTAATGTTTTCTGGGTTTAGCTTATGAAGTTTTGAACTAGTCTCTGAGCAAAAGTTGTATGAACTAGTGTCTGAGCAAAAGTTTTGAACTGGCTTATGAAGTTTTGAATGTTATCTGGGTTTTGCTTTTCAACTTTTGAACCATTGCAAAAGCCTTTTCTGTTTTACTGTGTTTTGAGCTTGTGAACCCTTGCAAACTCGCAGGGATGTTGTCGGATGACCACCAATAAGGACTTGAAAATGAAGACTTTGGTGCAGCACAGCTTTAGTGCAGCAAATATGAGCATAGAAAACCATCTTTTGGTGTAGCAAAGCTTTGGTCTCCTTATTTTGTCTATGTTTGGCTCTCATTGTATGGTTGGTTTTGTTTTGTAGTCTTGTCTATTTTGGTGTTTTGTTTCACGGGTCATTGTTTCTGGTGTAGCAAAGCTTTGGTCTTTTTCTATTCGTCTTCTCTATATATATGTTTGAACCAAACTCCAAAACTTTATACCAAAGCTTCTCTCCAAAAGTTTACGCACTCCATTTTTTATCAAACACAAAGTTTACAAACAATAACAAATTCCAAATCGTATCAAACACCAAAACTTTACCAAAATCTTTGTTTCTCTATCAAACTCCATCTTCAATCTTGTTTCTCTTCCAAAAACAAAAACATTTCCACCAAAATGTTTTGATGAAACCTTGGATTAAAGATTCCACAATATGTTCAACACCGCTATTAATCGACGTCCTGCAACAAATCCGGAAAAAACGAGCCTATATTGAAAGACAATGCGAAAAGGCCACAAACGCTTATGGAACGATTATTTCAGTGAAGATGCAACATACCCTCCTATATATTTCGATGCCGTTTTAGAATGAACAAGCCTTTGTTCATGCGTATTGTTAACCGACTCTCAAATGAAGTTCAATCTTTCAACAAAGAAGAGATGCTACCGGAAGGTTCGGTCTATCTCGACTACAAAAGTGCATAGCAGCATTTCGTATGATGGCATATGGTTATGCGGCTGATGCAGTTGACGAATACCTCCACCTTCGGTGAAAGTACTGCAATTTCATACTTGGAAAATTTTGTAGAAGGCATAATATATTTCTTCGGAGATGAGTACCAAAGAAGACCCACACCAGAAGATCTTCAACGACTACTCGATATTGGAGAGACATGCGGATTTCCCGGGATGATAGGAAGCATCGATTATATGTATTGGGAGTGGAAGAATTGCCCTACCGCTTGGAAAGGGCAATATACACATGGTTCTGGAAAATCGACAATCGTCTTAGAGGCTGTAGTGTCTCAAGATCTTTGGATATGACACGCGTTTTTTGGACCTCCAGGTAAATTGAACGATATCAATGTTTTTGACCGCTCACCAGTTTTTGATGATATATTACAAGGTAAAGCTCCAAAAGTGAAGTACTTTGTCAACATACACGAGTATCATTTGGCTTACTATCTCACCGATGGAATATATCCTAAATGGGCAACATTTATCCAATCTATTCTAATCCACAAGGCCCGAAAGTATCCTTATTTGCAACATATCAAGAAGCTGTATGTAAAGACGTAAAGCGTGCTTTTGGCGTATTGTAAGCTCGCTTTGCCATTTTCAAAAAGTCGGCTCTTATTTGTGATAAGGTAAAAATAGGAAAGATTATGCGAGCATGTATAATACTTCACAATATGATAGTAGAAGACGAACGCGATGGCTACACTCAGTTTGATGTATCTAAATTCACACAAGTAGAAACAAACAGAACTTCACAAGTGAATTTCACGTATTCTATGGATATCCCTTCAAATCTCTGAAATCTGATGGGCATTTGAAATCAAGTTCGTGATCGAACAATGCATAACAAAATTGAAAGCTGATTTAGTAGAGCATATATAGCAGAAGTTTGGTACAAGTCAAGATTACAACTAATCGTTTATCTGGTTTACGTGTTTTCCATCTACTTTTTATATGTTTCTATGTCATGTATAATTAAAGTGTTATGAAATACATTAATATTTTGTTACAAACCATTTAAATACTCAAATAAAATAAATTTTCAAAATAATTGTTTTTTTTAAGAATCCCACTTAAAATTCTACTATTGGAGATTCATAAAACTTAAACACATAATGGGGTTCTTAAAACCAAATTTAGCAAATTATACAATAAAAATAATCTTAAAAACCCCTTAGAGGTTCTTTTTATTGGAGCTGGTCTTAGCTTCCAATAAACTTTTGTTTTAGCTTAAAAATATCATTTTAGTGACACGAATCCTGACAATAACTATTTAAACTCCCAAAATTTCTAATTATACTTTTAACCACTCAAAACCATTGTACATATTTTGAGGTTGTTGTACAAATGCCTTACAAATGACCATACTCGATGCTAGAGAAGCTAAATGTTTGATTTTTTTTTTTTTTTTTTCCGAGGAAGTTCTAGAATCATTTGGGTCCATAATCTCCTTCGTCTGAGACAACACTCTAATAAACACATCCTTCTAAACAATGTTTGAAATAAGATGCGACATTATGATTACTAGACTATCTACCAGGCATAAATTTCAAATGACCCACGGAAGCTACACTTGTCTTTTGAAGTGGAAGGCCATTACACTGAAGTTTGCCTTTAAGAAGAGTGTATTAACATTTATAAGTAGTTTTGCCTTTTACACAAGTTAAAGAAGAAGACGAAGCAAGTTTTCGCAGTAAATCCTGAAGAAACTTTGGGACTTCCTGAGAAATTTAAGGTTGGATCAAGATCCAAAACTTTTGTTCCATTGTAGATACCAAAAAATATACTTGTACTAATATCTGATGTTTGGTTCACGATTCAATGAAATAAAGAGAATGCAACTGTGCGTGGCCAAGAAAAGTCATTCTTGTCATTGTTTAGCTGTCAGCTTTCGTCTGGTTTGCCATATAAGTCAAATATATCGTCCATATATATGCACACGAGCTATTCATCAATGGCTGCAACCAAAAGATTACATGTTGAAGTTAAAAAGCTCCTCAAATTCATCCCAAAAATATGAAAAAAATAAGCAATAGTATAGATAACTGTTTTACCTGTAGATGAACGGGCACATACTTGAATGTAACAAAATCACAGACCGGCCAATATATAAGTCCATTTCTCAATGTTGGCAGAAGATCTCGCTTCAATCTTGCCAAGATTTCCTCGGTATTTTCACCTTAATATGGATCCAAAACGTGCCAGAACCAACCACACAATGAGTATCAAAAATTTGAAGCAAAGAATACTTCAAAGTTCAAACCATAAGCTTATGATATACATACCTTGTAGAGCAGCATTATAGGAATAGAAGACGGTGTTGCTACAAGGTCCGAAAAGAACCTGCCCCATCATTATCTTCTTAAAGGTTGTCCACACGTCGCGCTTTGGCAATATTTTAGAGAGGTAACTGAACCAAAGATGCTGCGACGGCCCGAGAAATATCAACCCAAAGCTAGCCATTCTCGCTGTTCTTATCAGGTCAAAAGAACCAGATGGCTGCATTGTGATCATCTGTTGAAAGAATGTAGAGAGTCAGAGAGCACAAATCAAAAACAAAAGGGTCTCCTAGTTTCCTTTTTCTTTTACATTTCTGCATAAGATGAAATGAAGATAAACAGAGTTTATAAGCACTCCAAGACAGACACCTAAAGCTTTTTCAGCAATCAAAGCAAAGCTCCGGAAAAAAGTTTCTCTCCCTTTCTCTCCTCAAACTTTCTCACTTCCAAGTTTCTTAAATCTAAAAGACAGATTTAACAACAATGTATTCTATGAAAATGCACCATTTTTTTAAAATAAATTCTGCACATTTCAGTAGATTCTGCACACACCTAAAGCTTTTCTTAATTAAAAGATACGAATTCAAAAGAGATAACAACAACGAGATTCGACGATTGTGTCACGCAACAAGATAAAGGGTCTATCCAAAATCGGTGAAGTCACACAGCTAAAGTATTAATGAAGCGAAATTTCTTCCGCTTATCATCTAGTTTCTTGTTAAATTTGGGAACTTTTTCTTCCTTAACATACCAATCAATTTTGGAATTTTCTATGTATGAGACAATGAGGAATTGGATTTTTTCTTACTAAAGCAAGACTCCAATTATTTACGAAATTCATAAGACAAACTCGTAATTAGTAATGAAACTCGAGAAGAAGAAGAAACCAAAAACCCTTAAATTAACCACTAATGATCTCACCTGAGAAGTGAGATCGGCGGCCATATAAATGAGCGAAGTAGTGACGCTCTTGGTGATGAAAGGGTGCGACTCCACTTTCCTCAAATACCATCGTAGAAACGCAGGTTGTTTCGAAGAGGAAGCATTCGTCGATAGGTTTCGCGAGCGTGAAGAAACGAAGAAAACACGAGGGACTAGGAAACTCCCAGCTTTGCGCAGGTGGTGAATTGATCGGCCGGAAAATCCGAGGATCGGATTCCGACCGAAGAAAACAGTTTTAGCGAGGACATCGTTGATTCCGACGAGAGAACGACGATCGGAGAAACAAGGAGAGATTAGACGTTTGCTCAAGGCGACGATGTTCATCGTTATGATCTCCGATGATTTGTGTTAGTGGCGGCAGCTACAGTTTGTCTGATGCTGTATCTCTCTCTCTGTTAACTGTTGAATTCCCTTAACTGTTTTACGCCCTCAAAATGGTACCGTTTTGGTCTTACACTAGAACAATGTGAACCATAACCGTAAAAACCAAACCGAAATAAATGATTTGGTTTGGTTATAGTTTAATCGAAAAACTCATTTGGTTATTGTAATTGCTAAATTCCACATTCAGAAATTTGCGTATAAATTTTAGATTAAGGATTTATAACGATGGTTCAGACTTAATATAAAAATATATTGAAGAAATTAAATTTATATTAATTTAATCAAAAGAAATTATAAGATTTTTCGAAAAGAAATAGTATAAAGAATAACTACTTTTGCTAGAGTTTTTTGAAGGGAAAAGTTGTTGATTTCATGTGATTCGAGCTCTTTTTATACTTTTTCAAGATTTGAACTGTCTCTGCGTATTTCGGCCCACTTCGTGTTATACTGTCTCTGTAATAACCCCGAGTTGTTAGTAAAATATCTTTGACTTTGAGCAAATATCTCGGAGCTCGCCATATCACACATGCGAGATAACACTTAGCTGATCCACGAATTGCTGATGGGATAAATCTTGCATTTGGGCCGATTATTGATCCGACCCAACTCCAAATATTATTTACCAATTCTTCGAATTATATTTAAGCTGGACTTCGTGAGTCGGGCCGAGTGTGAGAAATCCAGCTTCCACAATTCCCCCCAGCCCATTAAGCTAGTGTCGAACTTAATAGGCGGTAAATTTTTGATTTTTTTATCATTTTACGTTTTGAGGGATGAGCCCGAATCAATTTTCCCAAATATTTTGAATTTTGAATGGACGGCGGAGATCTATCGTTATGTCCCATCTTTCTTCGAGCTCCGTGATTGGCGTCGAATTCCTTCTTTTTCGAGATTATTATTTGGAATGATGAATATTCGATGGGCTGGATTTGCGGTAAGCGAGATCGCTTGATGATTTTGATAACTGCTTTACGTTCACAACCTTCACGTTCTAAAAAAACTGTGCCACTCGGTCCAATCAAGGTAACTTCTCCTTTTCTCACTCTTTATTTTCGGCCTTAGATTAACTTTTTAGCGTAGAACTGCTTTTAGGTTTTTAGAGACAAACCCGATTCGTTCTAGCTATCCTTCAAAGTCTTGCCTTTTTTCTTTGAGTTTTCTTTCAGATATTTTTTATATTTTGTGATGGACATCTGCAAAGAGTTGTTTGGTCCTCATATTCCTTCTCCCACTTCGGAGACCGAATTGCAGAACCTCCGAGAAATTTACAGCTTTCCATCCGCCGTAGAGATGACAGTCCTGTCCAGAATGGAGTCGCCAAAAACTATTGGACCGGGGTGGTGCTACACGTACCGCACCTACTTCAAAGAGTGCAGTCTAACTTTTCCGATCCCGAGATTTCCTCTCGAAACCCTAGAGCGACTTTGAATTACCTTTTCCCTGATGTGTCCAAACTTTGTTCGGTATGTTATCAGGTTATCCGTTCGAGCTTGGGAGGAGGGCGTTCTATTCACCGTTAAGGATGTCTTGCACTACAAGAAAAACATCATTTTACGACGGCCAAAATGGTCGTTATTTCGTCGTAATAGGGCTATTACGACGAACTACCGACGATTACGAAATCGTCGTAAGTCATCGTCGTAATAGACAAAATCATCGTATAATATACGACGGTTTCGTTTCGTCGTAACATCGAGGGAAACCAAATCGTCGTAAATGCGTCGTACAGTTTACGACGATTTTACATCGAATTGCGTCGACTTGGTCTTCGCCTAGACCGTCGTTAAGTGGTCGTTAATGGTCGACGTAAGATCGTCGTAAAATGTACGACGCAAAAATCATCGTAAATCAATCGTAATGTATTTAATCATTTCGTCGTAAAATCGTCGTAAAGCGCGGACGTATAATCGTCGTATTTGTGGTCGTACATTTTGGTCGTAAATTCGTCGTAATATTTACGACGAATGTACGACGGTTTTAAATAAAGATATTACGACGATTATACGACGTTTAATATAATTGAAAATTAAAAAAAAATTTAATTCGAATTAAAATTTAAATTAAAAAAATAATAATTTACAATTTCAAATTTCAAATTTAAATTAATTGTAATTTACAAAAAACCCTACAGCTCTAAATCTAATTCTAAATCTATATCGTCGATCCCGTCACCGGCCTACTCCCCATTGTCCTGGACGTGTTCCTTGCCGGGTCTTCGGTTTGATGCTTCCGCCGGCGCATGATCTCCGGCTCTAGGAGGCTCAACCCCGAGAGATCGGAACATCTCCTCGTCCGTCTACACTGGCGGTTGCGTCCTAGTGGATGACCCGGTTGCAGACAATCCGACAACCCCATCAGCCCGCAGCTTGTCCAACTGCGCCATGAGCACCGGGTTGTCGGCTCCCATGTCTCGAAGAGACCGTAGAGCTGGTCGATCCTCGTCTCGTAACAAGTCCGCATCTGATCGATCTCCTGGCGGATAACCGGATCTGGGACCCTGACGTGACCAGTCGCCGTAGCTCTCGGGGTATCACGGATGGACCCCATCCCTAATACCCGCCCCTTTTTCTTTGGGGCAACCTACAAATATTTAAAAACATTATGGTTAGAAATTCAATTTATAACTAAATTTACATTAATTAAATATAGTAATTAAATTTACATCTTCGAAAATCCGGTCCATCTCCACCACCGTCAGGGCCAGGGTCGATTGGACCGAACTACCTCCGGGAGACGTTTGACGCGCCTGCTGAGTCAGCTGCGTCTGTCGCTCCTCGATCGCCGCACAGGAATTAGTATCGACAAATAAGGGTTAATTATTTGAAAACCAAAAAATCAGTAATTTTTATTTACTTATCATCATAAGCCGTCTTCCGGCAAAAGGAATCTGGCCGGAAGTGTGCGGAACGTTTTTCCGATTTCTCGCATCGTCAGTAGCGTTCATGAAAAATATTTTCATTAGAATATATTATAAGAATTAACAAAAACAAATAATGTAAATATTAATGGAATTAACTACTTACCTAGATCCGGAACACTTGGCGGTCGTAGTCTGGTTGTGCAGATCCAACAGTACTGGACAAAGCCCCGCCAGACGGAATTGGCCATAGGCGCCCGCTTGGCCTTGTCGCTGTCAACCTCCCACTTCCGTTTCCAGTCGGAAACGGTGTTGTTGAGGTGGAATTTGACCTTCTCCTTGAAGGCCGTCTCCACACGTCCGTGTGCGGATGTTTCCCAATGCCAGTTTTGCTAGGAAAAAAAAAAGTTAATAATTATTGTAAAAAGTTAAAATTAAAAATTAAAGTTAAACGAAATTGTAAATTACTTACCGCAAAATGTGGCCTGATCCAGCTTCTTCCAGCTGGTATGGGGTTGTACGAAAAACCCCTTGATGATATCCGCAACGTTACGACCGACTGCATTGTCGGTCGTAAACCTAGTCAAATAGAAAGAGAAAAGTAAATTAATTTCAAATATATAAGAATAAATATTAATTAATTTAAAAATATTGTAGGAAAACAATTACGTACCAAAATGTTCCCGGGGCTCGATCCGGGTCGAGTTTGTTCATGGTCTCACGACCCGGCTGTGCCAGAAGATCCTGTACCGTAAACTGGGCATACGATACAGGCGGGATCGGATCAGCTTCAGTATCGGCCGGTGCGGGAGCTGCTGGTTCGGCTGGTGGTGGTGGAGGCGGTGCCGGCTGTGGTACAACGACCGGTTGGGAAACCGTCTGTTGTGTTTTCGAGGACTCCGGGATGGCTGATCCGGTCGCCGAGATAGACGGGGCCGAACCGTCAGAATCGACCAGCTGTCGGTAGTGAAATCTCTTAGCCCGAGGAGCCATATCAACAGAATCTACAAAATTTAAAAAAATTTGTTACTAATTTTCCAAATATTTATTTAAATTTACAAAATCCGAGCCTATCTAAATTCCGAAACCTAAATCTAAATTCCGAACCTAAATCTAAAAGAATATGTAATGAACTTAATTTAAAAAAAAAAACTTACAAGTATTGGCTGGGAGAGGGAGAGGTTTAGGGTTTAGAGTGAGAAAGTTTTGTAGAGAGAGAGGGGAGAAGAGAGGAATGAGCGACGAAAGGGGGAAAACTCGCGTCCCTTATATAGATTTTGTGATCATCGTAAAATCGTTGTAACTTTGCGACGATTTTACGACGATTCGGTTGTATAACAGTCGGTCCACTGCATGACATGACACGTGTCGTGATGGGAGCGTTTGACCGTTACGACGGTTTTACGACGATTTTACCCAAAACCATCGTAAAATCGTCGTAACGTCTAAACATTTATAACCTCGTACCTCGTATCAAGAGCATATCCAGTGCAAACGTTACGACGGTTCAACGACGGTTTTAGGGAACTTAGTCGTAAAACCATCGTAAAGTTACGATTATATTACGACGGTTTTACGAAGTTTTTAAAAAGTGATTAAACCCTAAATCTTATAAATAGGATATTGCATAAAGAACAATGCAAAGGTTATTGTATCCTAACATAGAGCAAAAGGTTTACAACTTTGCGTGTATGATGGATTTATGACATAAGATAGTAAATATTGAAATTCCGTAATCTAATATATAACCTTTCACTTAACATTTACGAAAACATGCATGAACTTGTAAATATGTATGTTTTTTTTCAAATTTTTGATTTTGATCAGATTGATAGCTTTCATATAAAATAAGATAACCAATCAAAAACATTTTTGAAATACCTTACAACCAATAAGATATAAAAGATTCAAATTTTTGGATTTCAACATTACGACGATTTTACGACGAAATAGTGTACTCGTCGTAAAATCGTCGTAATATTACGACGATTTTACGACCGATTGTCGTAAAGAAGTCGTAATGCTTAAACCCTATTCATTCAGGGCTTAAAACCTAGACTTAGGGTTTAGGGTTTATAAAAACTATTGTAAAACCGTCGTAAAATCGAATTTTTTTCCATTTAAAAAATTCAAACAAACCAAATGGACTAAAACCATCAGTGCACCAAATGGACT